CATGGGAGGTTGGCTCCAGGGCATGTCCAGCTCATCTCGCCCAGTCCCGCCCCATGGGCCACCTTCTAATTAATTTCCTTTCAATGAACATGGATCCATGCACTGGGCCTCTAGTTATATTATAAGCTTCCTTGCTATAATCCTTACCAATGAAAATCACAATAATAAAAAATAACTAACTACATTTGCTTGAGACAGGGTATGAACTAGATGCCTATGACATGGTAAGAAGAACATCCATGCAATGGAAAAGCTCATGGCCTCAGGGTCTCAGGAAATCTAGGTTCACATCTAAGCTCTACCTTGTGGAGCCATTTAACCTCTCTGAGATTCAGTGTCCCTGCCATGTATAAAATGAGGTTAACACCTAGCATGTAGATCATTATTTTATAATGTATAAGAACAGTTCCTGACTTACAGTAGGCAATGAATATTAGCTATTTCTGAATTTCAGAGAATAATTTTTCTTTTAAAAAGTTAACGAAAGGGAAAGCATGAAATCCTAGATATATCTAGTTAGAATATTTTATGATCTTTACCCAAAATATTTAGGGGTCATAAAAACAAATGAAAAAAGAAAGACCTAAAGGCTTGATTGAAACCATACTCATCATGAAAGAATTTAAAATACAACCAGCTAAGGAACATTGCCTTAAAAATGTGATAGTTTTTCTCCTTGGCAGGGTTAGATGATTATGTCTGGGATAATAAAGCAAACATTTCAATGGATTGAGTAAATAAAAAATTTCTTACAATTTTTTTCTTATAGAATGGGCAAAAGGGTGCCATAATTATTCTTCATTCTGTATTTACATGGCATCATGTGAGAATCTGTTTGTCTTTTTATTTAACACTAGAGGCCCGGTGCACAAAAATTTGTGCACTTGGGGGGGGCGTCCCTCAGCCTGGCTATGCCCTCTTGCAGTCTGGGACCCCTCGGAGGATGTCCACCTGCTGGCTTAGGCCCGAGTACAGAGTCACAATATAAGATTCATTTCGTATGTGCAGAACCTCAGAAAAGATGCAGAAGCACTGCTACTAAATCATAAACCCCTGGCACATTAGTGCACAGGAGTCCACTCTTCATCCCAGAAGTGCCTGCTGTTGAAAATGGGTGTTCAGGAGAAGGCAGGATGCATTTTGAAAAATGCAGTGCAGGTCATGGAGCCAACATGTCCATGGGTTCCATCCTCCAAGCCTGGGAGCCTCCGAGGGAAGAGAGGCTCCCAGAATCATGTCTTGTTCAGCTTATGGTTTTATTTTTAAACTAGAGGCCCAGTGCATAAATATTTGTGCACTCAGGGGGTCCCTCAGCCCAGCCTATGCACTCTTGCATTGTGGGACCCCTCAGAGGATGTCCACCCCAGTGGGGACCCTCAGCCCATGGAGGTTTGGCCAGCCTGGGTGAGGGGCTGATGGGTGTTTGCAGGCTGGTTAAGCCGCCCCCCCCCAGTGGGGACCCTCACCCCATAAAGGTTTGGCCAGTCTGGGTGAGGGGCTGATGGCTGTTTTCAGGCTGGCCACACCCCCTTTAGGGTGTGGGGGGGTCCCCACTGGGGTGCCTGGCCAGTCTGGGTGAGGGGCTGAGGGCCATTTTCAGGCTGGCCAAGCCACCCCGGTGACGGAAGCTCCCAGAGTCTCCTTTTTTTCTTTCTTTTTTTTTATTTTTATTCTGGGATTTATTTACCTTCTATAATTGAAACTTTGTAGCCTTGAGAGGAGCTCAGAGCTGGCCAGGGCGGGTGGGAGGAAAGCTTGGCTTCCTCCATCGCCAGGGGCAACCCAGCCTCCTGCTTGCTCCAGCTCCGTGGCCACGGCCCGCTGAAAGCAGGTATCTGGGGTTTATTTACCTTCTATAATTGAAACTTTGTTGCTCTGAGTGGAGCTCAGAGCTGGCCGCGGCAGGCGGGAAGCTTGGCTTCCTCCATCATTGGGGCAACTAAGCCTCCTGCTTGCTCCAGCTTTGTGGCTGCTGGCCGCTATCTTGGTTGGGTTAATTTGCATATAGTCGCTCTGATTGGCTGGTGGGCGTGGCTTAAGGCATAGCAAAGGTACAGTCAATTTGCATGTTTGTCTTTTATTAGTGTAGATCAGCAATACATACAACCAACAAATATTTCTTTAGCATATACAAAGTAACACATAAGAATTAAAGACAACTGTGTTAATTTTTTTAAAAAGGTTCTTCAAAGCAAGAATTTTCCCATTGTTTCACCTCCTCCTTCCTTTCTGCTGGGGTTGCTTCACCAATTTCCTCTTCATTCTGGCTGCAGTTTGATCTCTCCCCGGATTCCTTCCCTGCTGCCTACAGAGGCCTCCAACTTCCTCTTCCTAAATAGTCTATGAAAGTGTTCAAATCTCCTCTCTGCTTGACCCTCATGCCTTCTCAAACTACAACGCTTTCTTCTCCTATTTACCACCATATTTCATAGAAGACTAGCCTACCCAGCTGTCCCAGCTTCATATTCCATTCATTGTTCAAATCAAAGTGTGGCTTCCAACTTCAATGATCTATTTAAACTGCTCTCTCAAAGGTCACCACTGACCTCCTGAGTGCCACATATAATGACCTATTCTCAGTCACCTTGTGCCTGACCTTCCTGCAGCATTAAGAGATATTTGTGGTCCACTCATTCTTTTCGAACCTCGCTTCCTTTGACCTCTAATACACAGCCTTCTCCTAGTCTTCCTTCCTTCCTCCCTTCCTCCCTCCCTCCTTCCCTCCCTTCCTTTCTTTTTTTTGTTAATCTTCATATTAGGATATTTTACCATTGATTTTTAGAGAGAGTGAAAAAGAGGGGAAGAGACACACAGAGAGAAACATTAATGTGAGACAGACACATCTCACATTGATTGGATGCCTCCAGCATGCGACCAGGCCAGGGATTGAGCCTGGAACCAAAGTATGTGCCTTTGACCAGAAACGAAACCTTCAGTCCATGGGCCAACACTCTCCACTGAGCCAAACTGGCTAGGCTCTCCTCGTTTTTCTATTATCCTGATCACTCTTTTTCAGCCTCGTTTTGCCCATTCCTTATTAAGTACCTTCTCCTCAAGCCCTGCATGGCACACAGCCTCAGGGTAAGCAAGATCCATCCTGAAGGATCAATGGGAAGTCAGGTACAGATTACAATCCCCAACAAAGAAGTCCTGAAACCCAAGAGAGAGAAAGGTAAGAAGCCAGAGGACAAAGGCCGGAGCCAGAGGACAGGACTCAGTGGAAGGAGGCCTCTCCTCAGCAGGACTGGGTTTTTGGGTCATGTATCTTTGCCCTACAGCACCTTTAAAGCACAGCTTAGTCCCAAATATCATGCTTCCTAAGATTCTGTCCTCTGTCATCTGCTGCATCCTTTACACGTTCTCTCTAAATGGTTAGCTATTGCCAGGATTTTGCCTATAACCTCGATTACCCCAAAATTGTATCTCCAGGAAGAAATTTTTTTATTTAAATTTTTTATTGTTTAAAGTATTACATAAGTCTCCTTTCCCCCCCATTGACCTCTCCTCAGCCACCCCCACCCCCTGCAGGAAGAAATTCTTGCCTAAATTCCAGACCTATTTAAATGATCTTTCTCCCCTTTTCTCTCCCCATTCTCTCCCCAGGGGCTCTAAGGCATGTAAAGCTGTCATGAATTTTTTATTTTCATATTTGAATTCCCTTCAACGTAAACTGTGGCAGCCCCACATTTTTATAATTCACCACCAACAATAAAAATGAAATGTGGAGCAACATGGAGAACTGTGGAATTTCTTTCTGTATTGCCACCTTATAAACTATTCACTGCAATGAGTTCAAATGCATAGTCTTCACAACCTGTGGATATCCTAAATTCATACTGAATACTACAAATGATGTTTCTAAAAATAGTATACATTTTCCTTAGAGTGCTGATCTCAGCTCAAATAATGTGAAGAACATCTAAAATCCTTGTCTTATCTCTTTTTATAATGAGTAAGCCATGTTCTATTTGGAAAAGGGATCTTTGCTCAGCCTTTATTAAAAAGAATGTTAAGCCTGGCTGGCTTGGCTCAGTGGTTGAGCGTCAACCTATGAACCAGGAGGTCAGGTTCAATTCCCGGTCAGGGCACATGTCCGGGTTGTGGGCTGGATCCCCAGTGTGGGGTGTGCAGGAGGCAGCCGATCAATGATTCTCTTTCATCATTGATATTTCTATCTCTCTCTCCTTCTCCCTTCTTCTATGAAATCAATAAAAATCTATCTTAAAAAATAATGTTAAAATCCTACATACCAAGAGCATGTTTCAACGCTTTAACCAAGAGGTAAAGTTAGTAAGTATGACTCTACCATTCTGGAAAAATTCCATTAAGTCACTTCTACCTGTATGTGGAAGTATGAGCCAATCTCCATAGGCATTTTTACAGATAAATAAAAATACTGTGGAAACAAATAAAAAAGGACAGGGCTTGTTTGGTATTTTTTAAATCCATCAGATGTCTCTACCTTTAGAAAATGGTTATATAAAATTTATATTAGATCATAGAAACTAGGTAGATAATCCAGATTTTTTTTTTTTAACAGCTTAGTTCTATAAGGGAAAAATGTTCTGAGGAACTGGCTTATCAATGAATAAAAGTTGAAAAGAAAGTTGAAAAACTAGCTGCATGTCTGAAATGGCTTATTACTCCGTAGGACAGTGATGGCGAACCTTTTGAGCACGGCATGTCAGCATTTTGAAAAACCCTAACTTAACTCTGGTGCCGTGTCACATATAGAAATTTTTTGATATTTGCAACCATAGTAAAACAAAGACTTATATTTTTGATATTTATTTTATATATTTAAATGCCATTTAACAAAGAAAAATCAACCAAAAAAATGAGTTCGCGTGTCAGTCATAGGTTTGCCATCACTGCCTTAGGAGAAGCTCTTCTTGTTGGATTCTTTGTAAGATTCATCAAACACAATCACTTGCTATAAATCTAAACCATCATTTAAAATTATTAGAGAGGAAAATGTAGAGCAGGAAAAAAAAACTTACATCTCTTGATTACCGCTCGAATGGATGACAAGGGTCCTTGGCTAGAAAAAGAAAGAAAACTTATTACACATTCATTAATCCTTTTGAAGAATCATTGATTGTGCCAGGCCATTTCTGGACTCAATATGGCGCCAAGTAGCAAGTTTGATACATTAATTACTGCTCTATTCTTTTTACAAAACACAAATTAAAAAACATCTAAAAATTGCCTTTGATATTTAAAACGTTTTATGGGAGGCGAGGAGGCTGATGAAGTACATCTGCAGTATAAATAAAATTTTGCCTTGAAGTTGCTTTTATAGCTACCTACATACTGTCTCTTCCAGTGAACTTCTTGAAGTCAGGTGGCAATTACCTGGTGCTCAAAATTTTTTTTAACCCTGCCCTCCATCTCTTCGTGTTTGACCTTGGAATTCTTATCTTCTCAGGTCAAAACAGATTATTTAAAGTCAATTTAACCTAAGTACCAATAGTATTTCACCCTAAGATTAGAATTAAAACATCACCACCTAAAAATAAAAGTCTGCTTTGATTTTTGTTCAATAGCTGGTTAGTCATGACTGCCTCTGACTATGCAACCTTGGGCAGGTCACAGACCTCTTCCAAGCTTCTGTTTACTCATTTGTCAAAACCCTCTAGAACTGCAAAGGTTATGCTATTAGTTTTCCAGGTTGTTTGTTTATCTGTATTCATACCAGGTGGACTAACTGTTTTTGAATCATTTAGAAAAATATGCAAACATGAAAGTTTAATGCTATAATTTAGAAAAAAAGTTCTTATTTATAAAATTCTTCAGTTTTTTTCAGAATAGTCTTTTAAAATTTATACTTATTTTTGAATTTATACTCTTTTAAAATTTCCACTTGTGTAACCTGTATAAATACGCTTGCTATATCTTAGATAACTACAATAGGAAGACACAATATAACAGTCCATTTTATAGAAGAGATACTTTAAAAATATACTATTCTGCCATACAAGAAAAAAAGAAAAGTTCTATAATACCACAAAGCTAGGACAATAATATAAAAACGTGTTTTTAGCAATACTGATTTTAAAAAAATGTCTTGAAAGCTTTCTATAAACAATTACTTGAAAAAAAAAAACCAGTATAAGGTAATATATAAAAGAGGTAATAGCACTAAAACCCAAATAGGTTGACTGAAGGCTTTAGGAAAAACTTCTTGGTATAAAACTGGAGTGAATGTGTATGTTAATATTGTGTCTATTGACTTAGGCACAGTAATTAAAAGAATCAAAATCAGTATTTAGAAGCAAGGGGAAAAAAGCCACAGTACCATGTGTGCACAGGCAAGACATAGGGATGTTATTGAATATCTACATCATACTCTCCTTGCTCACTAACACTTATTTCGTGTGATATTATTATATTATTATTACTTAAAAATACCTTTGTTGCCTTTGTAAAGAAGAAAGGTGTATTGACTGAAGTAAAACATTGGGGGGGGGGTAATTTGGGTCAAATTGCCCCTCCCCCCAAATATATGTTGAAGTCTTAACTTCCAGTACCTCAGAATGTGAACTTATTTGGAAATGGGGTCATTACAAATATAATTAGTTAAGATGAGGTTATACTGGAGTAGGTGGGCCCCTAATCTAACATAACTGGTGTCCTTATAAGAAGGTCATGTGAAGACAGAGACACACAGGGAAAGTGCTGTATGACAACAAAGGCAGTCTTGAGTGACACAGCTGTAAGCCAAAGAATGCCAGAGTGCTGACAAATCACCAGAAGGTAGGAGAAGGTGAGGAAGGATTCAACTATGGATTTCAGAGGAAGCATAGCCCTGCCAACATCTTGATTTCAGACTTCCAGCTTCCAGAACTGAAAGAAAATAAATTTCTGTTATTTTAAGTCACTCAGTTTGTGGCACTTTGTTACAGCAGCCCTAAGAAACTAATACAGGGGGAGACAGGTCTTCTGAGGTGCTGAGTAGATGTGATAATCAATTGAGCTGCACACTTTGTGCAATTTTCTGTATGTTATACTTCAATAAAAAAGTTGGGGGTGGGGAGGGAATCTTGGCCCCAAATAGAATTTTGACTGAGTTCAGTCCAAGTTCTACAGTCCTCAAGATTTGCAGTGTCATATTTAGACTAGATCTATAAACCAACCAATGAAGCAACTGATCAATGAACCAACTGACCACCCAACCAACCAATATTTTATGTCTAAAATGGCATTTCCCAAACTCTAAAAGTTTAAAGTTCTCCTTTAGAGGTTAACGGGTTTTCTGAGAGGAACAAATGAAAAAGAAGGCCTGTGGTCAAGTACATTTCCATGAGAAGTAGTTTTGGGAGATGTTGGCTGTGCAGTGCATACCATTTCTGTATCTCAAATGCAAAAACTGAGGTTTAAAGATGTTCTGCAGAGCAAGGACTAGAGGTGAAGTTACCACTCTATTGTCTGAGAAAACCTCATGGGAGTCCTCCCTCAGCATAAACTCAGGCTCATGTCTTAGCTGAAAACCTCCAAGGAGGGCCACCCTGGAGGTAGACATGGCCCCATGACCACTGATCAAAGGAGGGACAGCAGAGCCTGCTGGTTCAGAGAGCTAGTTCTGAAATCCAACTATCCATATTCCTTTCTGGTGCCTCCACCTGCTAGCTAGTGTGACTTTGTGCAAATTACTTAGTTTCTCTAAGGCATCTTGTTTCCTCATGTGTAAAAGCATGAGGTTGTTACAAAGAGTAAGAGGGAGAGTCCATTAAGGCATTTTACACAGTGCCTGGAACAAAGTGTGTGTTCAATAAATGTGAGACGCAATTATCATTTGTTCATAATCTTTACGGGCAACACAAAACATCTGACAATACTTACAAACCTTGGCAGGTTCCCCCTTATGGGTCTGATATCATGCAGATAGTAGGCCTAAGAGTTCACCGTATTTTTCTATATATAAGACGCCCCCCCCACTTTTCCAACCCCAAATTAAGAAATCAACATTTTAAACATTTTGCTGGTTTCCCTCTTAAGGCCTTCTTCATTTTTGGCATCTTAAGGAGTTGTTCTTCCTGTTTTCTCTACTCTCTGATCATACACTCAGTGGGAGGAGGTCCAAATTGTCTCTGCAGCTCTATTTCCATGCTCTTTTGCATAGCTGATTACATTCAGTTTGAATTTTGCAGAATAAGACAATCGCTTACCAGTATTTATCTTTTTATTTTTTGACATCTTTATGGGCTCAGAACACTCCAGTCCCTGTTGCATCTGCACACTCTCCACCTCCACCTCCAATTAAGGCATTAGCTGACATTAGTAACAATAAGCCTCGTGATTGGAGGAAACCTCTTTGACAAGGTATGGGCAGCTATGCATCCGTGGGTAGTAACAATAAGGCTCGTGATTAGAGGAAGCCTCTTTGACAAGGTATGGGCAGCTATGCATCCGTGGGGCTCCCTCCTTGACTTCCGTGTATAAAATGCCCCTCAATTTTCAGTCTAATGATTTTAGAAAATAATAGTCTTATACACAGAAAAATACAGCATGTTTTTTAAAGATTTTTTTTTTTCCTTTGCCCTGGTGGGGTAGCTTACTTAGTTGGAACATCATCCCATGCACCAAAAGGTTGTGGGTTTGATCCCGTCAGGGTGCATACGGGAGGCAACCACACAGTTTTTCTCTCACATCGATGTTTCTCTCTCTCTCTCTCTCTCTCTCTCTCTCTCTCAATCTCTCTCTCTCCCCCTCTCCCCTTCCTATCTCTCTAAAATCAATAAAAACATATCCTTGGGTGAGGATTAAAAAAAATAATTTTTTTTTCTTTGAGATTGCTATCCTCTGGTTTCTGCTGTTCAGATGGAACCTGAGCCTAGGTCCCTTCATGATAAAACAAAGGACTGCAAGACTGCATCTTCACTCCATCTAAATTTATAAGCCCATGTCTTGGCCATTGGCAGAGTTAATCCAAATCTTTTGCCTTTGGTTCTTAAAAAAAAATATATATATATGTATAGATGTATAGATGTATATGTATATTTTGCCTTAGCCGGTTTGGCTCAGTGGCTAGAGCGTCGGCCTGCGGACGAAAGAGACCCAGGTTCGATTCCATTCAAGGGTACATACCTTGGTTGCAGGCTCCTCCCCGGGCCCTGGTAGGGGTGTTTGCAGGAGGCAACCAATTGATGTGTCTCTCTCACATCAATGTTTCTCTCTCACATCGATGTTTCTCTCTTCCACTCTCTCTAAAAAAAAAATCAATGGAAAAATATCCTTGGGTGAAGATTAACAACAAAAAAAACCCCCACACAAATAAACAAACATATATATATATATTTAAAATTAAAGTTGACATACAATATTATGTTAGTTTCAGGTGTACAGTCCCGTGATTAGACATTTACATAACTTATGAAGTGATTACCCTGATACCTACACTCCAAGCCTCATTTTTTTTTCATGGTAAAATGGATTGTGTGTTGGGCACACATAATAATAAACTTATCATCATCCTCATTGTTGAAAACTCATCATTAGAAATTGATTTCATTTGGTAAAGACACTTTAAAAATGCAGTTTTCATTCTTGAGAATACCTTCTTAATAACTAAGGTTATGTGCAAAGGTAGTTAGAGAACTGTCCTACAGCACAGCCTGAGAAGGGCTTATCAAAAGAGGGTAGGATGAAAGGCTAAAATGGGATTCTAAACAGATAGAGAGTCCCTCAAATCTTGGAAAAAGATAAATCATTAGGCAATGAGACCAGAGACAATTCTCTCTTGATCCCAGCTTTTGGTTCTTCTCCTCAGGTTCTGAAAGCCATTTCCCCTCACCCTTCATTTCCCTTTTGGAAGGGTCTTTGACCCTCACACCTCAGCATTAGTTTTATCTATCCCACCGAGAACAAGGACACCTCATAACAGCAGCAGCAGTCCTTAAAAGGTAGAAGGCAGGCTTCCGGTCAAGGTGGCTGTATAGGTAAACCCGGTACTCTGGTGCTCAAAACCTCCCACAATCATAACCAAACTACAGAACAACCATCATTCAGAACTGCCCAAAATTTAGCTAACAGAAGCTCTAC